GGAAGTGTAAGCTGAATAAACTCTTTCCTTCCCAATTTGCTTCTTGGTCATGATGTTTGTTTAGGAACACAAATCCTGACTAAGACAGATTGGGTCTTTATATATACCCCTGGCTGTCCTGGAACTCAACTTTGTAGACCAAGTTAGCCTCAAATTTAGAGATCCATCTGCCTTTGCTTCCTGAGTACTGGAGTTTAAGGTGTGTGGCACTATGCTTGGCAACATTTTTATTATATATGTTTTATATATATATATATATATATATATATATATATATATATATATATATAACAGTATGTATTATACACATATAATACATATATCAAATTATGGAAATATATTATACACATATTTATATTATATATCATGGTAAATGTATATATTATATGTTATATATTTATTATATATTATATATATGGAGTCACAGAAAAAAATGAACACAGTGAATCAATTTCTAAATTGTGTGGCCTCATTTATATCATCCTATAGACATGTCTGATTGACATGAAAAACATCTATTCGCATTCTCCTTTATGTTTTCTAGAGGCTCCTTTGCCTACAGGAGGAAGACTAAATTTCTTTGTAAGCCACCAGAGCAGCCTCATCCTCATTCTGCCTTCAGATCTTGTAATAGGGTCCTTGTAATTGCTCTCCCAGAGTTCTTTCTGCCAGAGCCCTCCCTCCTCCCTCTGCTTAATACATACTTCCTGTACAACTACTCCAGTGCTCCTTTCATAGGCTTTCCTGACATCTTCCTGGTTAAGGAGATTATGTTCTTGAGCAAGTTTTCTCCTTATCTTGTACTGTTTGTTTTTCTCTTTCTGAGAGCACAGACCATTGTCTTAGAGTTTCCATTGCTGTGAACAGACACCATGACCCAAGGCAACTCTTATTTATTTATTTGTTTGTTAAGGTAACTCTTATAAAGGACTATATTCAACTGGGGCTGGCTTATAGGTTCAGAGGTTCCATCCGTTATCATCAAGGTGGGAAACATGGCAGCGTTCAGGCAGACATGTTTTGGTAGAGTTGCTGAGAGTTCTACATCTTGTTCTGAAGGCAACCAGGAGATGACTGTCTCTAGGGAGCGAGGAGGAGGATCTCAAAGCCCACCCACATATTGACAGACTTCCTCCAACAAGGGCATGCCTCCTAATAGCTCATTCCCTGGGCCAAGCAATGTAAACACATGAGTTTCTGGGGGCCAAACCTATTCAAACCACCACAACCACATTTCATCTTCCCAATTCTTTTCTTTTTCTCTGAATGCAATGCCTTTTATTTGTATTTGATGAGGATTAACACACCCAGCAACTCCAGTGACTTTTTCTTACCCCACTGAGAAGCAAGTGGCTTAACAGGGTCTCTCCGAAGCAGCACTGTTCTTTAAAGGGACACTGATACCTATGCAGTCCCCTGACTTGGATCAGCTGAGATGGGAGACTTGAGTTGTCTCAGTTGGGGGACAGGACCCTAAAAGGCCACCTCTAAAGATGCCACCGTGCCTGGTTCTGGACCAAGTCTACTTGTTAACCACTTACAGACAACACTAGCCCTGGCTCTCCTGATCCTGGCAGAATGTTTTATTTTTCAGAGTTGCTCTTTTTAAATCGATAATAGAATGACTCCATTAGAACACCAGACACCTCCCCAGATGGAACCTAAATTCAATCAAACATGAACTGGGATGTGACTATCCAGAATCGTAATGATGGGCAGTGGGAAGACACCCTAAACCTCTATCCTAGCACAGCTGAGAACTCCCTATGGGAGGGGTAAGAAGGACAGGGGAGGGGGTGGCGGGGGAGTGGGGGGAGAAACAGCATGCTTTACACAACTTAATACTGTGGGGGGCCCAGGACTGCTGGCCTCCATAGTGCCCCTACTTCCCTTCCAGCTGCTCGTACAGTTTGGGCACCTAGTCGTTCCACTCTGCTTGGTAACATGTGCCAGCCACCAGGGCGCCCAGGTTGTACTTCTTGTGGAAGGACTCCACCTTGAACTTGGCACGGTTGTCTCCAGACTTGTTGCTGAGGATGAGCTGGTCTCCGCTCAGAGGCTGTTCCCGCTCACACACCAGCCAGACATAGTGGTGGAGACCTGTGCCTCTGGGAGGCCAGGACCCCATGTCGTGGGAGAGGACAGTGCCACTGCTTAATGTCATTGTCCTTCACGTTGACCACCAGGAAGTGGTGCCACTCCCTGAATTTGGGGTCCTTCCTGCTGGGAGCATCCGGGTCAGTGAGGACCAGGATGTAGTTTCCCAGGATCAAGGCCATCCCATGAAATGCTGCTGGGCCTGTTCATAACCTGGGTGGGCGTTAGCAGCTTGTCCACCGTCACCCCGGCGTAGTCGACCAGCAGGGCGGCTTGTCTACCTCCTGCAGATATATCGGCCCAGCCCACGGCCAAGGCGAGGGAGAGATGGAAGACACCCGCGCGCCCCGACTGCTCATCTTCCCAATTCTACTACTAAAGTCAGTGCTTGATGGCACAGTCAACTAACATTTCTTGGGTAAATACACAACTTTTATATAAGTACAATCTATTTTACAACATGATTGTCTTTTAAAAGAAATACTAAATCACACATGATGTGATGACTTCCTCTTGGTTGTCAACTTGACCACATCTGAAATTAACTTTAAAATTCAAGTAGCTGGGTACACCTGTGAGGGATTTTTTTCCTTAATTAAATCATTTAAAGTGGGAAGATCCACTTTTCTTTTCTTTTTTTAAAGATTTATTTAATGTATATGAGTACACTGTCGTCTTCAGACACATCAGAAGAGGGCATCAGATCCCATTACAGATGGTTTTGAGCCACCATGTGGGTGCTAGGAATTGAACTCAGGACCTCTGGAAGAGCAATCAGTGCTCTTAACCACTGAGCCATCTCTCTAGCCGGGAAGATCCACTTTTAACCCGGATTTTTTGAGGCAGGAAGATCATCTTTAATATGGGCCACACCTTTTCCTGGGAGCCTTTCAAAGGACATGAAAGAAGAATGCTTTCTCACTTTGCTTGCTTCCTCTTGCTCTCCCTAGAAATTACTTCACTGCCATTAGAGTCTACTTCTTTAGGATTCTGCATATACTGAAAGCCATCTGGGACATCCAGCCCTGTGGACTGAACAACTGCTGGTTTCTTGGCTCTGTTAGTCAACCATTGTTGGACCACAGCCTGTCATACTAATAAGTTTCCTACATATAGATTCAGTCTATCGGTTTTGTTCCTCTAGAGAATCCTGGGACATACACATAAAATTTAAAAACATGATCTAAAAGTGTATTGCATCAGTAATTTCACTTACAATGCTATTTGAATAATACACTCAGGTTTAGTTAGCTTGGAGTGTGTGTGCTTTATAGATTATTTGCAACTGTCATTTATTAGATGTAAGATTTCAGATAGACACGCCGGGCAGTGGTGGCGCATGCCTTTAATCCCAGCACTTGGGAGGCAGAGGCAGGCAGATTTCTGAGTTCGAGACCAGCCTGGTCTACAGAGTGAGTTCCAGGCCAGCCAGGGTTACACAGAGAAACCCTGTCTCAAAAAACAAAACAAAACAAACAAGATTTCAGGGAGACGCAAAAAAAAATATAAGCATTATGATTAACAAATTTCTGGAACCTTAGCCAGGCAAGGTGGTACATGGTTTTAATCCCAGGCAGAAGCAGGTGGATGTCTGTCTGAGTTCAAGGTCAGTCTGGTGTATGTAGTGAGTTCCAGGACAGCCAGGCTACATGAGGCAGGAAACCCTGTCTTGAAAAACCAGAACAAACAACAAAAACCGAATTCAAACCAAACCATATCTGGGACCCTTAAAACGGGAAAATACGCCCCCACACCGAACTGGCATCTTATTTTTTATTGTGGTAAAATATAAAAACGGTGTGACCGCAGTTTGCTGCCATCAAGCAGATTCGCAATGCTAAACAATCATCCACACAGTTTTCAAGTTTATATTTTAAGAAGGTAAAGAACTGCTAGTCCTTAAGCACTATTGAAACCGATCCTCACACACGAACCAAACAGGAGGGCAGCCCAGCAAGTGCAAGCAAAGTTCCTGGGGGTGAAAATATTGAAAATCCGTGAAAACAGCGGGGCCCCATACGGGTCACTAGGCGAAGGGGAACGAGCACTCCACAATCACAAGGCAGAAACGGCATACAAGGACCCGGCCCTCCTTCCTTGGGAAAGCAGCTTGACTGGCGAGGTGAGGAAAGCTGGCCTCCTATCCGCGACCGCGCCTGTCAAGTGTTGGGGTGCAGTGTGGCGGGTCAGCTGTGGAAGATGCCGTCCCGGGGCCGAGGCAGGGTCTGTGGGGATGGGAGTCGCCTCAGGCCCGAGGGCGAGGGTTATTTATTCATTTATTTTTAAATCACCAGGGGACGGGCCGAGGGGTCTGTGAGAGAAAGCCCCTGGGCGGGACCCTCCGCACAGTCGGAAGCTCCCGGCCCGCCACGCTCCGGTTCCACCTCGGCTTCAGCATCATGGCTCCGCACCGCACGCACGCTCCCCAACTCTCTCCCCGTTTTTTAATTTTGTGAACTCATAGCTGAGCCCCACGGAGGCCACGCCATCCACATGGAGACTAGCTTAGCGCTTTAAATCACCTCAGAGCCATGTTTTAGACCTGAAGAACTTAGCGCCAGACTTGATAGTTTTAAATCTGGCGGGGCAGCTCCTCTCGGGCCTGCCACACCCCTGTTTACAGTCCTGGCCAATCAGCGGAGGGCCCGCCATTTTTCAAACGCTTTTCCTGCCGCCAATCAGGGTCGAGCAGTACATTCCTCTCTAGACCGGTTCCAACGGGTCTGGGAGTTAACGACCTGGGAGACCCACCGAACCTGCTAGGCTAAGGCTGGAGGGCCGGGCCTGGCCAGACGCTTACCAATCAGAAGCCTTCTCTGTGGGAGGGCGGGGACTCTCCGGGTTTGAATAATCCTCACAGCCAATCAGAGCGGAGGAGGTGGGGCCTGCGACGGGTCTCGTCAAGTTGCCGTGGCGCGGAGAACTCTGCAAAACAAGAGGCTGGGGATTGCGTTAGCGAGTAACCAGTTCTCGCCGGAGCTTGGGGAAGGAAGTCTCTCCGTGGAGGTCTGAGGGAAGCGCTCGCGCCAGGTAAGACTCGGCCGAGAGGCCCCGGGCTTGGCGGCCCGGCTCTTTCCGTGTAGGGAGGAACCTCTGTCGGGCTTCGGCACGGCCGCTTCGGGGGCCTTAGAGGTCAGGTGGAATTTGGGCTGAGGGCCGGGACCATGGAGGTCGCGCGGGAAGCTCTTGAACCCGGCCGCGTTTCTTTTCCTCTCTCTTTTTTTTTTTTTTCCATTAAACATTTTTTTTCCTTTTTTTTTTTTTTTGGATTGGATGTGGGTCTCGCGGTGACTTGTGGAAGCCGCGCGGCTTTTCTGTCAGGAGGGCGCGCGCGGCCGGCGGCTTTTCGGCCTCGGGGCGAATGGCTGAGGCGCGGGCCGCGCGGGAGGGTCGGGGCCGGGAGGGGCCGGGCCGGGCGGGAGCGCGCGCTCGCGGGGGCGCGCGGGGTTTGGGCGGGAAGCGGAGCGGCATCCCCCCTCCCCGCTGTCCCCGCTCCCCTCCCCCCGTCCTCCCCCCCCACCCCCCCGCCGCCCTCCCCCGCCGACTCGGCTTTTCTCCTCGGCAGGTAGACGCCGCGCCGTCATCATGGGTAAGGGTGACCCCAACAAGCCGCGGGGCAAAATGTCCTCGTACGCCTTCTTCGTGCAGACCTGCCGGGAGGAGCACAAGAAGAAGCATCCCGACTCGTCGGTCAACTTCGCCGAGTTCTCGAAGAAATGCTCCGAGAGATGGAAGGTGAGGGCGGCATTCCCGCTCAGCTGCAGGCCGTTTCCGGGGTGGTTTTGGCGGGTCCTCGCGGGCCGTGGGGGGGCCCACCAGGGAGCCCCGAGCTTTTTGCCACCCCGGGGACGGGAGAGTTTGAAAGGTCCCCGAGCCGCGCGCGGCGCCGTTAATGCAAATGGGAATTTGTTCATTTATTGGTTCTGCTCAGAGCTTCAGGTTTTGCCGATTTACTCGACTTACTTGTTTATCCACGTCTTTACTTCCTTCCTTAACTTTTACTGCTAAGAACTTTTTAAACATCTTGCCGGTTTACTCGATTTTTTTTTCTGCCCATAGACCATGTCTGCAAAGGAAAAGTCGAAGTTTGAGGATTTGGCCAAGAGCGACAAAGCTCGTTATGACAGGGAGATGAAGAACTATGTCCCTCCCAAAGGTGATAAAAAAGGGAAGAAAAAAGATCCAAATGCTCCGAAGAGACCACCGTAAGTTGACCTGAAAACTGACCAAACCCCACCCCACCCCACCCCCATCCTCCTTTATTTGTTAACTCTTGCTTCCTTGCAGGTCTGCCTTCTTCCTGTTTTGCTCTGAACATCGCCCAAAGATCAAAAGTGAACACCCTGGCCTGTCTATTGGAGATACTGCAAAGAAACTGGGTGAGATGTGGTCTGAGCAATCTGCCAAAGATAAACAACCGTATGAGCAGAAAGCAGCTAAACTAAAGGAGAAGTATGAGAAGGTATGGTGCCTTTTAAAATATTAATGTATAAGTATTAGTAGTATATAGTATATATGTCAGCTGTAGAAACTTGGGAAATTAATCAGTGGCTGTCAGTTTTTGAAAAGTCCTATTGAAACTTGAGCAGTACAGACAAGTTCACCTTGTGATAGTGTTTGTGGCCCTTGTAAATTCTTGCCTGTGCACTCACTGTAGTTTTGTAAATCTGTTTTAGAGGGTAGGGTGGCAGCTACATTTTTAGGTATTGTATATAAAATATAAGATGGGAAAGGGGCATTCATACATGCAAAGTAAATGGGCATTGTCAGTAAAAGTGCAGTAACTGATCTCAGGCAGCTCGTATTATTTACCTGATGTGCTTCCTAAAGCATAGAGGGAGCAAATGCTCTCAAACCTGTGCCTGCCTGGCTGAATCCCAGCCAGTGAGAGTTTTGGTCAATTTTAAATTGTTTACAATTAAGTGGTTTTTCACACTTGAGTAATGGTACCGGATGCTGATCTTACTTTGACAATGTTTCAGGATATTGCTGCATACCGTGCCAAGGGCAAAAGTGAAGTAGGAAAGAAGGGTCCTGGTAGGCCAACAGGCTCAAAGAAGAAGAATGAACCAGAAGATGAAGAAGAGGAGGAGGAGGAAGAAGAGGATGAAGATGAAGAGGAGGAAGATGAGGATGAAGAATAAGTGGCTGTCCTAAAGTGTGGAGTATATGTGCTCAGGCAATTATTTTGCTAAGAATGTGAAATTCAAGTGCAGCTCAACATTAGCTTCAGTATAAAAACTGTACAGATTTTTGTATAGCTGATGAGATTCTTTGTAGAGAAAATACTTTTTAAAAAGTTTGTAGCTTTTTCAAGGGCTACAACGTACAGTTAGATTTAAAGCTTTTGATGTTGAATGTTTCTAAATATTTAATGGTTTCTTTAATTTCTTATGGTAGCAAAAAAAAACTTCATAGGAATTTGTATTACCAGTAAAAAGAATTTTTTTTTAGGATGTTGAATTTTTTTTGTTTTTTTCTTTTTTTAAATTTGTAATAAAATAATGTATATTACTTGCATTGTGTTTGTAGTATATTAATTTTTCCTTAAACACAGATGCGGACATATTAGTCTTTTTACACAGTTAAGTTTTGTGTTAATCATTAATTTGCTTCTCTGTTTTTTGTGTTTAGATAGAAGGGCCAATTTCTTTTAATGACCACAAGCTAAGACATTAGCAACAGGTTAAAGCATTAGGGACATGCTGGCTTGATTTCCAGAACAAATAGACTAAAAACTTTCAAAGTTCTAGGATTGTGCAAATTACAGCTCTAAAGATTATCCATTCAAATTTGGAGTAGGGGTGTGATCTTTTAAATTTTAGGCTTTAGGTGATTTAGTATACTAAAATATTTTGGATAATAGATATCCAGGTGTGGGGATTATTTACAGTTCTTTTAATTCATTTAGCAGTATGGATTTGAGGTATAGACAGCTTACAATGAGTCTTAAGCTTGTACTAAAATTGAAAATTACTAGCTCTGAGATGAGGTGAGTTGAATGTATTAGAAAACTTATAACTTGTGAAGCTGTTGAAAGTAGGTTATACCAGGCTGGGTTTGGTGGCAGGTACATGTAATCTCAGTGTGGAAGGTAGAGGCAGGAGGATTGGGAGTTAGGGCTTATCCTGGTTAGACACTACGACCACCAAAGAAAGTAAATTGCTTCAGTGGTATGTAAATGTTATGGATATATAATAAGCAGATAGTTAAATGTCTTATTCAGCTTTGAATTTTTCAAGACTACTAACAAATCAGTGTGAGCATAACCATTTAACTATGACATAAGTATTCCACAGATGAATTCTTAGAGCAGTGATTTTGTTAAATGTCTGCATCTTCATATTGAGTAGGTTATAATTTAACTCTTGGAAGTTTGAGGCCACCCTGTACTGTTTTTATGTGAAAAAAGTCCTAGAAGGAATAACAGTTAAAAGGTATAGATAATATAGAATTTGCTACTTAGAATAATCTAAACCTTTATTTCTTGGTTTTGATAATACTGCAGATAGAACCCGGGGCCTTATACATGCCAGGCAAGTGCTATACCTCTGAGCTATCTTGAATGGCCTTGCTATTTCCTCACAAACCTGTACTTAAAGATTGTTAGAAACTGCTCTCGGGCTTGTTTAACTCAAAGCCTGGCAAAACTGCTCTAGTAGTATGGTATACGAGCCATAGTATCAGTTTTGTAGTACCTGTTCCATCTATGTAATGATTCTCAAGTTTCTTTTTCCTTCAAGACAGGGTTTCTCTGTATAGCCCTGGCTGTCTTGGAACTTAATCTGTAGACCAGGCTGGCCTCAAACTCAGAAATCCGCCTGCCTCAGCCTCCCAAGTGCTGGGATTAAAGGCGTGTGCCACCACTGCCTAGCGGTTCTCAAGTTTCATAATCTTTATTATTTTGATAAGTATCTCACATGTATTACATATTCCAAAATAATATTTTTACAGTTGAGGGTGTTTTGCTTTGATCTTTTTGACTTGTTAAGGAAAAAATGGCATTTGGGGGTTTTTTTTTGATCATTTTTCCCTTTGTCATTTTTAAATAGGTTTATTTTAGTCAAATGTATAACTTCTACATGGCTCTGGGAAGCCTATCTCAGCCAAGACCAATACCAGTTGTTTGGTTTTTTAAAAAGAAAAATGAAGTCTGGGGAGGTTGCACGTCAGTAGTAGTAACACTTGCTGCCCAAACCCGATGATCTTAGTTCAGTTCCTAGAAAGAAATAGTGTTTTACATCTGTGTGTCTAGGTCAGTCACAAGTATCACTGTAAGTAATAAATACATCATCTTAAATCTGACTTCCTAGATTAATGTGATACATTCCTTTAATCCTAGGTAAAGGCAAGTGGGTCTTGAATATAGCCATGTCTCAGAAAAAATGAACAAAAACCTTCCCATTACTTCATATGCCATGAAATATTTTGCAAAACAGTTTTTATTTCTCAGGGAATAACAAAAGTAAAGGAACTGTTAGGGCATTTGATAAGACATAGTCTTAAAGGTGAAACAATACTAAAAATGAGCCTGTTTAAGATTAGTTTTCCATGAGATTCCTAGTGGGAATGCCATTTTAGAGATTTGTCGGTTGCTAGAAGGGAAAGTTTGGAAATGAGGAAGGGTCACAGCCTGTACACTGTATTAATCTTTATATTGCTATGTCTAGCAAAATGTTCTATGCATATTTCTAAACACGAACATTAAGGAGAAATGGGAGGACCACTTATTCTGTCTTGTTAGGTAGAAATTATATAAAATTCATAGGTCTCCCAGTTTTTCAAGTAGAATCAAGTAGAAACTTAAGTTTATAAAAACTGAAATCTCAAACGCTGGCAATACATTCACATTCTAGGGTCAAAGAAAACAGTTGTAGATATGGTCTTATCCAAGAGCTACCGGTTTGGCATTTCTATGATGGTTTTATACTGCAACAAAGTTTAAAGACATTTTTCTGGTGGTTCAGTGAACCTCATTGTGCTCCTGGGCCTCAGTCATCTCTTGGTGAGCTTCATCCTCCATGTTACCACATCTGTAGAGTAGCACAATAGGAATTCATTTTAAAAGTGAAAAATCAGGCTGGAATGATGGCTAAGCTATTAAGAGCCCTGGCTGTTCTTGCAAGGGACCTGGGTTCAATAGCCAGCATACACATGGTGGCTCACAATTGTAACTAGAGTTCTGGGAGCTCTAATGACCTCTCTTGGTCTCCTTGGAGACCAGGAATGCATGTAGCCTATAGCCATACATGCAGAGAAAACACACACACACACACTAAGACAGTAATTAGAAACAAAAACAAAACTAAAGACTAACTTAGGTATCTAGTAGTATCAAATTTCAAACTGATTTTTAGAAATGGAAATGGTTTTATAATCACCTATCCAGTTTCCTTTCTTCACTAAGGCAATGTCTCAGTATGTTGCCCCTGTTGATTTGGACACTGGAGACGAGCCTGGCTTCGAATTCAAGAATCTGCTTCCCAAGTGGTAAGCATTAAAGGTATGTGCTACCATGCCCAGCCTGGAGTTGTTTTGTAGCTCAGGTAACAGATAATAATCATTCATCCTTTAATCATAATATGCATTCTCTGACTTTCCATATTACAAAAAAAAAAAAAATGAGGTGAGGAGGCTTATACAAAAACAAGCAACCTAACAACATATAAAATACAAATATAAAGATGGGTAGGGGGCAAGACTAAAAAAGGGATAGGAGCTTCGACTTGAGAAGCTAAATGCCTCTTGGTAAAATTTAAAATAGGTGTAGTGGTACACTTAATCCTGGCCTTTGGGAGGTGGGTGTGGAAGGATTGGGAGTTCAGACTACATTTTGTACTTTACATAACAAGTTTGAGGGCAGTCTCATAACATGACATTCTGTGCAGGAGTTTAATCCTTGACCCCAACAGGAAACTCAGCGTGGACAAGTGCTTTAATTTCTCTATGTGTGCAACTTGCTGTATATCTTAGTTACTTTCGTATTTATAAAAAGTGATGAGTGATTAGGATTTGGCCTTTTCACTTTAATACTGTGTCATTAAAAGGTGCGTCTAGTTCATTCATGCTTTTCATTGTATACCATAACAGTATATGATCATGTCTGGCAGGTGGAGTAGTGCATTCATCTTAGCACTTGGGAAGCAGAAGCAAGTGGATCTCTTGTCAGATCTGTTTGAGGCCAGCCTTGTCTACATAGTGAGTTCCAGGATGGCCAGAGCTATCTAGTAAGACTGGTTTGAAAAACAAAAACAAAACCATTATATGATTGTCATATTTTATCCACTCTACTAATAAGCATTTAGCTTTTATTTCCTTTCTGCTGCAGTGGCAGACTCTCACTGTCTTTTCAGCTCAGCAATATATATTAGTACTCTTGATCATCATTGTCTCCTAGGTAGGACAGACATGGTACATGGGTTCTCTCTCTCTCTCTCTCTGTCTCTCTCTGTCTCTCAAATATGGCAGATTGCTTTGTGTGCTGTGCAACTCCTGATAAGAGTTGCCCATGTATTTTGTCATTTTTAAGGTTGTTAAGGTTAGGGATAGCATTTTTAAATCCAGTACCAATGACTGTCAAATTTTCTATTAAAGTTTTATTTGGAGGACTTAATCCTTAATAAAGCTAGATTTACCATTCTCACAAGTCCAAGCGTAACTTTAATTACCACTGAGAGCCACATCTACACAGGTTGTATGGTGAGCAATGAGGCAGATAAAACAGTTTCCATGGTAACCATTTGTAAAGTGTGGGCCATAATATCTGAAAAATAAAGTGTATACTCACACTGCCTTTCTGCACTGTAGAAGTCTTTTTTTTTTAATCACAAAATCAGAAAGTAACATGTTAATAACCTTGACCATGTGTTGAGGACTATAAGTACTTTAGGCACACTGACAACCCTAATAATCCTATAAATAAAGCAAAGTACTGTAACTGGGGAAGCTGTGCTATAGCACTTAAATCACTCACACTGGACTCTACTATGTTATGCTACCATTTAGTGGCACAGATTGTAACACTCACCACTAAAAATTAAGAAGCCCACTGCCGGGCAGTGGTGGCTCACGCCTTTAATCCCAGCACTTGGGAGGCAGAGACAGGCGGATTTCTGAGTTCGAGGCCAGCCTGGTCTACAGAGTGAGTTCCAGGACAGCCAGGGCTACACAGAGAAACCCTGTCTCAAAAAAAAAAAAAAAAAAAAAAAAAAAAAAAAAAAAAAAAAAAAAAAATTAAGAAGCCCCCTGCTGCAACTCTGCTCAAAGGTAGGTGAGTCATTTAAAACCAGAATCTACTAAGCTCAATTATAGGCAATTCACATTTTTAAAGAGAATTATTACAAAACAGCTCTTGATCTTATTTAAAATAGTCCTTTACTCTCTAGTCACTAGGATAAGTCCTCACAAACATTTTAACTTCTGTTTTTTTTTTATTACTTTTTTTCTTATTCATTTTATATCCTACCCCTTCCCAGTCACCCCCTCCCACAGTCCTCCCTCATCCCTCCTCCCCTTCTCCTCTGAGCAGGTGGGGATGGGGGGAGCCTCTGGGTATTCTACTCTGGCACATCAAGTCTCTGATCATCCTCTCCCACTGAGGCCAGACAAGGCAGCCCAGCTTGAAGAACATGTGCCACAGACAGGCAACTGCTTTTGGGATAGCCCCTGCTCCAGTTGTTCAGGACCTATATGAAGACAAGCTGCACACTTGCTATATATGAGCAGGGAGGCCTAGGTCCAGCCCCTGTATACTCTGGTTCGTGATTCTATCTCTGAAAGCCTCAAGGGCCCAGGTTAGTTGACTCTATTGGTGATTTTGTGGAGTTCCTATCCCTTTAGAGGCCGCAGAACTTTCTCCTGTTTTTTCAGTAAGCATCCCCAAACTTCATCCACTGGCTGTGAGTGTCTGCCTTTGTCTGAGTCAGCTGCTGGGTGGGGTCGCTCAGAGACAGACTCTCATTAACAGCGTCAGGGACTGGTGCTTGCACATGAGATGAGGCTCAAGTTGGGCCAGTTATTGGTTGGCTGGTCCCTCAGTATCTCCTCCATCCCACTCCATTGGGATTCCTGCCTGATTATAGGAGGTAGCCTCTTTAAGTTCCACAACTCCAATATAGTGAGTCATAGCTAAGGTCACCCCCATTGAATTTTGGGCACCTCCCTTATCCCAGGTCTCTGTCTTTTCCTAGAGATGCCTCCTACCTCCTCACCCCCATCAGTTGCCGATTCCCATTTATTCTCATGGTCATCTGGCCATCCCTCCTGTCCAACCTCACACCTGATCCTGAACACCCCCCTTCCTCTCTCTATCTCTTCTTCCACCCAGTTCCTTCCATCTGCCTCTTATGACTATTTTATAACCCCCTTCTAAGTGAGATTCAAGCATCCTTCTTGGGTCTTCCTTCTTGTTTAGCTTCTTTGAATCTGTTCTTTCTTCTAGCATGGGTATCCTGTATTTTGTGGCTAATGTCCACTTATGAATACATATCAGGCATGTCCTTTTGGGACTGGGTTACCTCATTCAGGATGATATTCTCAAGTTCCACCCATTTGCCTGCAAAATTCATGATGTTCTTGTTTTTAATAGCTGAATAGTATCCCATTGTGTAGATGTACCACATTTTCTTTATCCATTCTTCACTTGAAGAATATCTAGGTGTTTCCGGTTTCTGCATTATGAATAAAGCTGCTATGAACATACTTGAGCAGGTATCTTTGGTGGAGCATCTTTTGGGTATATGCCCAGAAGTGGTATAGCTGGGTCTAAATTAGGTAGAACTATTTCCAGTTTTCTGAGAAACTGCCAAATTGATTTCCAAAATAATTCTGTCTGGTTCTTTAATCAGAGTCTTTCACTGCTCAATATTTTAAAAGATGCATCCATGTGGAATAATTTTCATGTACCAACCTTTTTTTTTCCTTTTTCTTTTTTTGAGTGTTTAGCCCTGAGTGGCCCAGAATACTATGTACACCAGGACACAAACATCCACCTGCCTCAGCTTCCCAAGTTCTGGGATTAAAGGCATGTGTCACCATGCTACAATTTTATGAGGACTACACCCAGTCACATTCTGTTTAGAAATGAAAATTATTCTCTGAGATAGTCTTTAGCTTTGAATTGCCTGTATCCCTGCTGTCTCTTGAAATGGTTTTGCAAAGTTCTGTGGACTATTTCTAGTTTTATTTTGGTAAACTTCCACTCTCCTGGCTTCTGTTTGTTGATGTGTTGTTCTGACTTAAAAATAGTCTTGCTGTCAATAGGCAATTGTATTGAAATAGTCACTGCCAAGATAGGTTCTCATTACTGAGATCATATTTTATCATCTGATTGGTGATGTTAGAAGTAAGTGTTAGAAATAAGCAACCTGGAAGGCTGTAAAAGAAAATCTCTTTCCATTCTACAGGTAAATACACATACATGCGGCAGAATTCTAAACAACACTCAGGCACACACACATCTAACAACTATAGCTTGGATTATTTCAGCTATTAACCCTAATAAACGTAATAAACCTGTAAATAAAAAGCCTGAGTAATTTCTTTCCTTGAGGGTAATCTGAATATTTATTTTGGCTCTTGCTCTTTTTAAAAACCCAAGTAAGTGTGCAATTATATATAGAAATAATTACAAGTACTGAAAAGCAATGGATTAAAATACAATATTTTATTTTTCCTCACCTAAAAAACAAGCAACCCAGAATTAAGTTATACATAAGCTTCTTGAGTTTACCCTAATAAAATTTTGAATATTTGTACAATTTCTACAGAAACATACAGTGTATCAAAATCTGCATAAATCAAATTTATAAAATGTGTAGAAATGCATAGTGATATTATCAACTTACAAAGCAAGGATATGGGGATTATTTCCAAAGCAGCCTGAAATACAAAATAGTCATGGTGGCAGCTTCTGATGTTTTCATGTGTGGTAAGGTTTCTGATTTCAATATATAGAATCATGTTCATATAGTATCCTAACGAATTGTGCTAGAAACAATTTAATTTACCCATAAAATGACATGCACAGTTCATGTGCCACCTTTCTTAGCCTATGCATAGATACGAGGTTAAAATCTATTTAACATGGAAAGTGGTGTCATTTAAGTTTCCTTTCTTTAGTGGATTTATTTGTAATTATATAAGCATACAAATGCATTTCTTCTTTAAATATCCCTAGACATGAAAGTTTAAATAGTTGATCACAGGTCAGTAGCAAAATACAAATTGATAATTCAAGATTGTAAATAAAACTGTTCAGGAAGTTGAATTTTTATTGTCCAAATTTGATGAACTAAGCTTGGAAAAAAAAATTGTACGCGTTTCTTCCAAAAAAAAAAAAATTGGGCTTTCTTCTTCTTTTTTTTTCCCTAAGCTTTATTTAAAAATATTTCCTTCTGGCAGTAGTTTGTGAATTTCTGTCATTGATACCATGACTACATGATCAAAAATGTTTAACTGGCCCCAGCTTACCACATTGCTTTTCTTTCCCCCCCCCTTTTTTTTGGCACTCAATGTAGACATTTTAATTTGAGGGGAGGGGATAACAGAAGACTTCCTAGAAATTAAAGTTTACAACATTTGGTTCTCTTAAAGTAGGTATTGTCTTAATAAATGTCCAAATTAAATCTTCTTTTCCATGGAGAATATAAAAAAGAAAAAAATTTACACTTCCTAAAAAAAGAAATTAAGGAACCCTACAGAACTAACATCTAACTTCGCAGAATGTCGTCCACATTCGTTGATGATCTGTATTCTTAGATAATAAGATCTAAGAATAGAAAATTAGATACTAATTTTTATAAATTAAAAAAGAATGTGCATGGAATTTTCTTTGAATGAAGACAAATGAAGTGTAAGCTCATCTCGGCTTGTGCTGTGTGGCAGGCTCTCTAGGGTTTCCATCCCACAAGGGCTTGGTATTCTCACCTCAGGACCAACCTAAGGCGTTCACACTAGGGCTTTATTGGGTTCTTTCCCTGCCTCTCAACCCCCCTTTCAAGTTTCAAACTGAGAATTATGTCTAGTTTTCTGTAGTGATTGGCTCTGGGGAAAGCAGATATAAAATACAGACGGGCAAAAATCAACCCCTCTTTTTAGAAGGAAGACCCTTTTGCTAGCCTAGAAGTTGGTGTGAAGAGAGGACACTGAGACTATCAGCAGGCCCAGGAGGTAATGTCACAGAACCTTCAAGCCCCACGAAACAGCCTTGAGATGGTCCCCATTGTTGTCCCTGATCCAGCCATAATCCACATTCCACTTCATAGCCAAGAAATTCACGTGTGAGTAACAGACGGATTCCCCAGGTGACATTCATTGTTACCATCATGGAAATGTCACTATAGAAGCTCTCCAGAAATATAGAGAAATGAAAGAGGCACTAAATGTGTTGAAATTCACCTTTCAAACAGCAGCGTGACTGAAGGAAGACCGCCTTGGCCAACAACCCGTGGCAGTACTTCCAAAAGATGTAAAATTAAATACACGGCAGGTTGACCATCACCAAGTTGATGTGAAAGTCTGCTTACTCCAACCTTTTTTTTTTTCAAGTGTGTTAAAAAACAAGAACAACATCAACAACAACAACAAAACCAAACTGCCTTCCAGACCCCTGAGTGTATTCCCAAAGAAGACAACACATGCTTTAACTCGGTGGTTCAGGAAACCGAGTTAAAGGCACAAATTACCAACGTCGTCATAAAACAAAACGAAAACGATGTAAACATCTAGAGTTTAAGGTAAGAGCAGTTTTGTAAACAGTAACTGCAGATGATAATGTTATTGTAAAATCACAGTTTATCAACGCCCCTTTCCAACTGATCAGAGAGGTTCCAGGTTTGGAGCTGTACAAAATTAATAATAATGGTTGCAGCAGGTTCCAGGCGGTTTTCAGTCCTCCTTAAATGTACTTGTCAGTAGGTAGATTGTTGGTTTCTTCTGTTCTTGTCAAACACTGTGGATGTTATTCATCTCCCACTTCTGAGTCATTTTACTCGAGTCACAGCTGGAGATGAACACTTGATGCAGGACCTCCGAGCGATCTAAGCACTTTCCGGAAGTGATGTGCGTGAACCTGTGCAGGTTCTGGAAAACACAGTAAGTGAACGTAAGTTTTACATGTGGACTCTGCCACCTCCAGAAGAAAGATAGGGCATCAGGTGGAAGGATGGGGTTGCCATCCTACAGTCCAAAACTCTGACCCAGAATTGTTCCTGTCTGAAAGAACTACAGGGACAAAAATGGAGAAGAGACGGAGGGAAAGGCAGTTCAGTGGCAGGCCCAAGTTGAGATCCAGCTCAAGGGGAGGCTCCAAGGCTAGACACTGTTACTGATGCTAAGATGTACTTACAGACAGGAGTCTAGCATGGCTGCCTTCCAAGAGAGACCCAACAAGCAGCTGAAAGAGTGAGATGCAGATACTTAACACCCAACCAATAGACAGAAGCCGGAGGCCTCTGTGGTTGAATTAGGGAAAAGCTGGAAGAAGCTGAGGAGAGGGCGATCCCATAGGAGGACCAGGAGTCTCCATTAACCCGGACCCCCGAGATCTCTCAGACACTGGGCCACCAACCAGGCAGTATATACCAGCTGATATGAGGCCTCAACACATATACAGCAGAGGACTGTCTGGTCTGTCCTCAATGAGAGAAGATGCACCTAACCCTTGAGGGGGTGGGAGGTCTAGTAGGGTGGGGGTGGGAAGTGGGGACATTCTTTTGGAATGGGGGAGGAGGAATGGGATGAGGAACAGTTGGAGAGTGAACCAGGAAGAGGGATAACAACTGGACTGTAAAAAAGATATAGTAATAATAATGTGGACTTTGATATCCCTGCCACGAGGCGCCATTCCTCGGCTTTCATAGCAGGCAATTCAAGTACATCAGACAAGCACACTGTACAAGCCTTGAGTGTCAGTATTCCTAGCCCTTCCTGTTTGGTGATGCCATTTGAACTGTGTCAAACTTAACACACACTAACTGAAGTTCAGTGTCTTCCCCTCCAAACCTTTGACTCTCCAAACCTTAGTCTGGCTAAAGACAACCCCGGCTTTCTGGTCCTAAGGAAGCTCGGCGCCTCTCACTCACGGTACACCAGTTCTCTATGGCTAATACTTTCAGTGTTTCTGGCTTCTGCCTTCTCACTCCTGTCTCTGGCTCTAATACGTTCTTCATCATATGCTGTTGATTTCTCCAATTCAGCTCTTAGCTCTTCAAAGAAAGGGCTGTAGACTATCCAAGACTGGGTGTTTTGCAAAACTTATTTTCAAAATGCAAAGGAGTTAATTTGCGGCCTTTTGTGTTGAACTAACATCTGTACCACGGCAAGAAAAGCAGTGGGTGAGATCATGCTGATCCTTGCATCAATCAAGCAGCGATGGGTGGACGGCAAACTGCCAACAGTCAGTCCTACCAGCACTGCCATGCACTCGGCTGAGACAAGCCACTTTCATGTAAGGATGCCTATAACGATGGTGTTAAATTATGCTATTGATCTTTTTTGGGGGTGGGGAATAAGGTTCAAGACAGTGTTTCTCTCTGTAGCCCTTGGCTGTCCTAGAACTAGCTCTGTAGACCAGGCTGGCCTCAAACTCAGAGATTCTTCTGCCTCTGCCTCCTGGATGCTGGGGTTGAAGGCTTTGGCCCATCAGAGCTTATTAATCTTTAGTGACACCTGACCATCACGTATCCTTTAAAAATCACTCAGGTGAGATGGAAAGCCTGAATCAAGTGCTTCCACATGGCCGGACTCAGTGGTGCCTTGAGAAAGACACGCAGGAAGGACTAACACCTACTCTGTTCATCCATTGTCCACGGATTATTCAAACTTGGATACTGTGTGTCACTATAAGGAAAACAGCGACAACAGCAAACCCATGCAGCATCTGGAGCAGGGGCTGTCCCTGACTCTGTTGGCTGTCTGTGGGTCCTGTTCCCTAACTGGGCTGCCTTGTCTGGCCTCAGTGGGGGAGGATGTGCCCAGTCCTGCAGTGTCTTCAGGTGCCAGGGTGAGTTGGTACCCAAGGGGCAGGGAAAGACAGGAGGGGAGGAACTGTGAGGGGGGCACTGGGAGGAGAGAGGGGGCTTCGACTGGGATGTAAAGCGAATGAACAAATGGAAAATAAATAAATGCCCCAAATAAAGCAGGGTGGGGGTGTTGGGGGTGCACTCACGAAAACAAACCAAAAAATACTTGACAGTGTTGGTTTTCAAGCAAAAATCAGAATTTTAAAAAAACTTACCACTACTACGAAGACTTTACAAAATTTAAAGACTTTTCTCACAGAACCATTCTTAAATTTCTAATTCTCTTTTTTTTGTATACTGTACAATGGAATATACCAGCCTTTGGGAGATCTTTATCAGTTAGTGACTAGTATAATTTAGTATTAATTTAGCATAATTTGAAAATAAAAAGGTTACAAATTCTTCCAATGTAACTTCCAATCCCAGAACTATTTTTAGTAACAACCTACACGAGAGCTCTTTGGGAAGAGTGCTGGTGTCTTTTTACTGTTGTGGTTCAGAGCCAGGGTCTCAGTACTGTTGCACAGGCTGCCTTCAATGCACGGCCTCCTACCTGAGCCTCTCGAGGGTTGGGATTCAGGCTTGCACAACAGTACTGAGTGAGTTTCCATTACCCTCAAGGTTTAAGGGGGATGCAGAAGCCAGGAAGTCTTCAGACTCCATTCACACTGATCTTCTCAGTAACACGCATGTCATGTCACAATCCCTTTCCTAACGGTATCCATTTTTGCCTACGGCTACTGCATAGAATGCCAGCTCACATTAGGGACGACCTGAGGGCAGTCCACAGATTGTTCTGCGACTCTTCATGCTGGATTTCTGCTCATCTAGTTTTTCTCTATGAAAACTGATCAGAGACCTTGACCCGCATTCTTCTCTTGTTTTCTTTCTTTATAATATTTTGCTTATTTTAAAATTTATTTTATTCATTCCGTTTATTTACATCTCAAATGATATCCCACTTCCTGGTTACCCTCCACAAGGTCCCCACCCCACAACCTCTCTCTCTTCCTTCCCCTTTGCCTCTATAAGGGTACTCCCCCTTCCTGCCCCTCCCCTCCAGCATTCCCTTATGCTGGGGCATCAAACCTCCACGGGACTAAGGACCTCCCCTCCCACTGATGTCAGACAAGGCCCTCCTCTGCTGCCTATGTATCTGGAGTTATGGATCCCTCCCTGTACACTCCCTGGTTGGTGGTCTAGTCCCTGGGGCACTGAGTAGTCCAGCCAGCTGATGTCATTTTGCTTATTTTTAACTGCACTTTTTTTTTCTATACATTATAGACCAGCATGTTTTAGATTGCCACAACCTCATATTCTGTCACCGGGGCCCAGTTTTTAGTTTTTATTTATTTATTTTTTTAATTTTGGGGTTGGTTCTCAGGATTAAATTACTATGTGGTACCTCTGAGTTCTATCCCCAGCCAATATCCATTCTGCGGTTTCCCTGTGTAATATCTTAATTACCAGAGCAAAGCAACTGGTTCTCTCCTTCCATGTTTATGTGGGTCTCAGGGATCAAACTTGGGACATGAGGCTTTGAAACAAGTATTTTTACCTGCTGAGTTAGTTCTTAAGGTCTGAAAATTTTTTTAATAACAAGTTGGAAAAGATATTACCAAATCCTGACAGGTTAATAGTGTTTATTTTCACAAAAGAAAATGAAGAGGACCCAGTGGTAGAGACCTGTGAGAAGAGCAGCTTTTAAAGTAGAAAAGAGTGTAGCAGAGCAAAACCGCCCATCAAGAAGTCAGGCCAGCCTGGACTACATACTGAGACCCTGGGTCTCTGACTCTTAGGCCTTCTTGGGTCTCTTCCTTCTGTTTGCTTGTTTTGTCCAGTTCTGATGTTAGTTCTTGTTTTGTTTTATTTTATTTTATCTTATTTTGATTCCTTAGAAGCCTGGCTGTTTTCTAATGAGAGGCAGACAGGGAGTGGATTTGGACGGGAGGGGAGGTGGGAGGAACTGGGAGGGCAGACAGAGGGGAAACTGTAATCAGGGTATATTATGTGAGGGGAAAAAAAATCTAAGTGAGAAAATTCAATCAAAGGGAAAAAAATCATACATTAATCCAACCAATATGCTTGAATCTTGCCAGAAATCTTTAAATATGCACAGCCCTTACAGAAAAGCAGCTCCAAGAGCCAGCAGGGTCATGTGAATAAACCTGACCTTTAAAACAACCAACCAGGCACAGCAGAGAAGGATGAGGAAACAGGAAGGCAGAGCGGCCAATTCTTACTTGCCTGTCTCTACCGCCACCTGCTGGACAGCAAGAGTCAAGCGCTTTCTTTTTAATGGTCTAAATATATTCCTGATCCTTGAGTCCCGGACTTGTTTACATGTTAAACATTGGATTTAGATCTGAAAACAGCGGTGGTAGCGGCCTCCTAGAAGAACACTGGCATTCTTGACTCTCTGAGATTAGCACTAACTCTTCATGACTATCACGGTGGTCTCCCTGCGTGATGCCAGTGCTCCAGAGAACACAAGTGATTCACCTAGCAAGTCTGTGTAAATAACTAATGCAGACAGTCCAAGTCACGAACGTGAACATTTGGTCTTCAAATGTATCCATCTCAATTCTATTTGTTACTGACAACACGACAGCATACATTATCCCAGGAGCTGGACCACGGCATACCTTGAAGTACTGCCATTCCTTAAATTCATTTAGGTTACAGTGTGTGATCATGACTTTGGATCCATCGGGCCCCTTTGTCAAACACTGGTCGTACTGCATGAGCTGATTTGCTTCATTGATTCGAAAAAGCTATCGAACAAACAGATAAAATAGAGATGTCTTTCTTGCCAATACATGTTTTACAAAAAGAACGAAACTTAACTCCTATTATTAAGCTGAGTAACTTATTCCATAACTTTTGTGCATGTTGGAAACCATTAGTCTGCAGACAAGAACTATCCTCATTCTGACATTAGTAAAGACCTCTGTCGACACATTAATTACATTCTTAATTCTTTAAGCCTCTAATACACAGAATGGGTAATTAATACGTATTTATCATGAACCAACAGCAAGAAAATTAAAAACTAGGAGAAAGCCTAATAGTTTTTTACAACTGAAATTAGACATATGAAAATTCCTATGTAAGGAAGCAAGAGAATACGTGTAAAATAATATGTGTAAAATACCTAGTATCAGCAGTAAACCAATGTAGCTTACTAAGCCACATGTGTAAAACTTTAGAGTTAGGCTTACTCAGTCATTAGTATATGTTCCCATAAGGATATACTTTTATTACTTGTGTGCAGACATCTCTACATTTCCCTATTTAAGCGAAATGTTTTAGTGGTCAGCTTTATTGAACGTTTTTTACCAAGTCAAAATTAATAAATTAATAAATTAAAAACCAAACTCGGGGCTGGAGGGATGGCTCAGTGGTTAAGAGCTCTGACTGCTCTTCCAGAGGTCCTGAGTTCAATTCCCAGCAACCACATGGTGGCTCACAACCATCTGTAATGAGGTCTGGAGTCTTATTCTGGCATGCAGGCATATAAGCAGGCAGAACACTGTGTACATAATAGATAGATAGATAGATAGATAGATAGATAGATAGATCTTAAAAACAAAACAAACAATCCAAAACCCAAACCCAAACTAAACCCTGTCTGTCTGTGATCACTGAGTCTCAGCGTTGACCAACCCTGAAGGAAGGTGACTTACCTGGTTCCCGCCCATCCTGTGGCAAGGTCCTAGCTCCACAAAGCCTCCATTCGTCTTCCCCATGCTATCAATACAGTATGCAGTCTCAAGGCCTCGGATCTAAAGGATGAAGAGAACCAACACACAGCAAACACTATGGTTTGTAATAAACCAGAACCCGAGTGGAAGACTCTCAAGTTCATGTCACAGAGAAAGTCCGGGGCTGTTGTAGTGCCAGGCTGTAACTGGTATCACCAACCTGTAAGTAAGTTTCTGCATCATCATCACCTTTGAAGCCATGATCTGAAGGGAACATTGAAATGAGTTCATTTCACCCAAGGACACTAACCCACACTGTGCTAGAAAACAGCACAGAAAAAAATACAAGCTACCCTAAGAAATGCTTCATGACTGGAGTGTCCATGTGACAGAGGAGAGCTCTGTAAGTACATAGGGGTTTTGGGGTGGGGGCAGACACCAGCTCTGCACACAGTTCTGGACACAGAACAGACCCTGCTTTCTGAGTCCTCTCACTGGCTGGGCAGCTCCTCTGGGGGAAGGGCATCACACAGTGTCTCAGAACAAGGATAACGGCACACAGTGTGGCTTTCTTGTAACTACCATGGAGGGGTTAAATCGAGGCAAAAGCCAACAGTCATTCTCTCATGTTTGGAATGCAATTTTGTGTTAAAATAACCACATTTAGAGGGATTCTTATCTTCATCTCGATTATAGGTCACTGTACTATTTGGATATAGTGCTTGACTATGGATACTGAGGAGGAGGATATGGGCTTTTGAGTCCAGGAAGATGAGCAAGTCACAGTCCTCTGGACCATCACAATATAAGGACAAACAAGTGTATTGGTCCGAAGAGGAGATGAATGTGCAGATGACAAAGCTCCACTCTGCCGGGGGAAGCTCAGGTTTCTCAGGGGACATCTTGTAAATAGGGTTTTTCCCCTCCGAGAATGTTCAGCAGATGGAGTGGAAAGGATAACAGAAAGGAAGTAAGGGATAGAGGCCAGAATGTGGACAAATTCCTCTGAGATACAATTAGGACAGAGATGGTAAAAAGAGGGAAGCCCCTCATTCATTCATCCATCCATCCATTCCTGAATGCATGCACTTACTCGTCCATGAAATACTAAGTGGGTGGGTACCTACCATGTGGCAGGCATGCTATATCTGTATCTGTATGTCTTTATATCTATATATTTGCTCCTGTGGCCTGTGTTTCTCAAATGATAGAAAAGCAAGAACATTAAGGAAAGTGTTAGGGACTTGAGAGTGTTCTAGGGTAGATCTCATCAAGGACACAGGAGGAAAAACTTGAAAGACATGAAAGCTAGCTGTGCCTGCAGATGCCCAAAGGAAGGCATTCTGGGTAGAGGAACAGCAGAGGCAGGAAGTGTGAGGAGGAGGATTGGAGAAGGGTGAGGTGAGAGAGGAAGGGTAACCAGAATGGGCTCTGCCTTGACCTAAGCAACTGGGGTGGTGACCTCTCTTTCTTAAAGAGAGGTGACATGTCATGCCTTGCATTTCCAAAACCTCCCTGATTGCTTCTGGTGTTTGGCGCAGGCTGACAGTAAGCACAAGTTCGTTTTGGTGAGAGGCGATGGGGACTTAGTCAAGGTAAGGAATGGCTAGATTCCGAAAGTGACGCAAGTGTGAGAAAAAGAGACTCAGTGAAGACTCCCGAGGCTTTGGTATGAGCGACGAGCCAAGATAGGCTGGATGGGGAGAAAAGGCATTCAACTCGAGGAGGGTTGGGTTTGAAATGATATTCAAGTAAAACGTCAAGAACATGGCTGAATACATTTGCCTAGGTGGGGGGTGGGAGAGAGAGAGAGAGAGAGAGAGAGAGAGAGAGAGAGAGAGAGAGAGAGAGAGAGAGAGAGAGAGAGAGAGAGAGAGAGAGAGAGAGAGAGAGAGAGAGAGAGAGAGAGAGAGAGA